GATGAGGTAGACTGGGTTAGAATGTGGAAAATAGACCTCTTGGGACTGTTGTAATAGTTTAGACAAGAGATGATGAAACTTAAGACAGGGACAGTAGGGTTTTTTTGGGAGTTGATGATTGATCAGGTGTGAAAGAGTGAGTGGAATTTAGGATGACTTCCAGGTTTTTGTCTTAGGTAGATGGATTGTCAGTAATTTTGAGACAGCCAATACAGGATGAAAAAATGGGCCTGAGGAGAGATACTGAGTTTACTCTTGGGTATGGTGGGATTGACATTGCTTAAGGAGTGATGAGGAACAAATGTTCAGATAGTAGGGTGTATGTGGGTGTGGAGTGTGGTTGAGTGTTACATTATAATAATTATTGTGAAAAAATGTGGATTTAGAAGTTATTAGGTTTCATGTGTCATGAGCTAATCTAGGCAACCATTAATCTACCTTTTGTCTCTATAGGTTTGCCTATTCTGGAAATTTCATATAAATGGAATCATGTAATATGTGACCTTTTGTGACTGGCTTCTTTCACTTAATGTAATGTTTTTAAGAGTCATCTATGTTGTATCATGTATCATGTATCAATACTCCATTTCGTTTTATTGCCAAGTATTTCACTGTATGGATATATCACATTAGATTTATCCATTCACTAGTTGAACACTTAGGTTCTTTCCCTCTTTTTGTTTTTGTCTTGAGAAAGAGAGGGGCAGGGGAGGGGCAAAGAGAGAATCCCAAGCAGGCTTCATAAAGAGCTTGATCCCACGACTGACCATGAGATCATGACCTGAGCCGAAACCAAGAGTTGGATGCTTCACTGACTGAGCCACCCAGTTTCCCTCTTTTGAGTATCATGAATAATGCTGCTGTGAACATTGATGTTGACATGCATTTTCATTTCTCTGTGGTATATACCTAGGAGTGGCATTGCTGGATTATGTGGTGACCCTGTTTAATTATTTGAGGAACTATCAGATTTATTTCTAAAGTGGCTGTGTCATTTTACGTTCCCACCAGCATTGTATGAGGGTTCCAGTTTCTTCACAACCTTGTCAACACTTTTTGTTATCTTTTTTATTATAGCCATCTAATGTATAGAAGTGATACCTCATTTGGTTTGATTTATCATTTATATAACTTCTTTGAAGAAATGTGTGTTCAGATCCTTTGCCCATTTTTTAATTGGGTTATTGGCCTTTTTATTATTGAGTGAAGAGATTTTTTTTCTTCAAAAAAATTTTTAATGCTTGTTTATTTTTGAAATAGAGAGAGACAGAGTGACTGGGGGAGGGGCAGGGAGAGAGGGAGATAGAATTCAAAGCAGGCTCCAAGCTCTGGGCTGTCAGTACAGAGCCTGATGCAGGACTTAAACTCGTGAACCACAAGATCATGACCTGTGCTGAACGGACACTTAACTGACTGAACCACCCAGGTGCCCCAAGATAAAAGTTCTTTATATATTTTAAATACAAATATTTATATACAAACACAATACCTGGGGCACTTGGGTGGCTCAATCAGTTAAGTGTCTGATTCTTGATTTTGGCTCAGGTCATGATCCCACAGTTTGTGGGTTCGAGCCCCATGTTGGTCTCTGCGCTGTCTTTGCAGAGCCTGCTTGGAATTTTCTCTCTTCCCTTTTTTCTCTGTGCCTCACCCACTTATGCTCTCACTCTCTCAGAATAAATAATTAAAAAAAACCCAAAAAACCCTCAAATCCCCTATCCTATACAGTTGACTCTTGAACAACATGGGTTTGAACTCTGTGGGTCCACTTATACAGCAATTTTTTTAATAATACAATACTGTAAATATATTTTCCTTATGATTTTTTAATAACATTTTCTAGCTTGCTTTATTACAAAAATATAGTATGTAATACATATACAAAATACATGTTATTTGAATGTCTATATTCTTGGTAAGGCTTCCGGTCAACAATAGGTTCTTGGTAGTTAGGTTTGGGGAAGTCAAAGTTATATGCAGATTTTGGACTGCATGGGGGTTTGGCACCCCTAACCCCTGCATTGTTCAAGGGTCAACTGTATATGATCTGCAAATTTCTCTCATTCTCTGGGTTGTCTTTCACCTTCTTAAACACACAAGTTTTTAGTTTTGATTAATCCAGTATATTTATTTTCCTTTGGTTGGTTGTGCTATTGGTATCATATTTAAGAAGCCATTGCCAATCCAAGGTTACAAAGGTTTATGCCTATATTTTCTTCTTTTTTCTATGAGTTTTATATTTCAGCTCTTTCATTTAGGTCTCTGATCCATTTGGGATGCTAGTCTTAACCCTGTCCTTACTTGTTTTGTGACCTTGGGCTGTTCATTGCCTTTTTTCAGCCTCACATTTTTCATCTGTAAAGTAAAAGTTGTTATGTGTGTATATATAGAGCAACAGAAAATAAATTGGTGGTTGTCACAGGCTGGAATCAGTGGGAGGGTATTGATAGTAAGACTGAGAGAACTTTTTGGGGTGATGAAAATGCTTTACATTTTACGTGTGGTGGTGTTTGTATGACTACACATTTTCCAGGGGTCCTAGAACTGTATACCCAAAAGAGGTAAATTTTATTGTATGTAAATTATACCTCAATAAATCTGTTTTTTAAAAAAAACCTTACAACAACTTTATAAAGTATGTAATATCTTTTCCATTTTGAGGCTAGAGGAAACTGAAGCTCAGAAAGGTTAGTGGCCTGTGGTCCCTCATTTGGTAGGATGCAATTCCAGGATATAAATCTAAGTCTGCCTGTTCATAGAGCTTGTGATCTTCTACTCATGTTTATTTAGCCTGTCCCTGAAACTATTAAGAGTATGTGGATTCTCTTATAAAATGTTGACTTTCCCTTGAAAGCCAGGGACCCTCTCTTCATGTGAGCAGCTTCCCCAGAAGTGGCTGTCACATTCTTAATCCAAATTTTGAACCCATAGCATATCTCCTTTCTGTCAGTCATCAGTTGAGCTTGGAATCCATGTTGTGGAGTGCTGCCCAGGCAGGATCTCCTTTTGAGGCTGTGGCCCTCATTTTGGAGCAGCAGGAGACCATTTCCAAAGTTGATGAGTTTCTTTGGTTATGAAAAACAATTTCATACCTTGCTCAATCAGCAACATGGAGTACCTTCTTATTAGGAGAACACCGGATGTTTATAGGGCCAGTTGCGCTGCTTAGCACTTGAACAGTCTTGCTCACCGCAGCTTATTTAGCAGAGAACTAGTTGGGTTGAGGAGAGATCTAAGGCAGGAAAAGTGTACACGTTGTCTTCTGTGTTGTTGCTGCCATCACATCATCACCATCATCATTTACATGTGTGCGCTACCTAACAGTTGGTAGTGTATTTTGACATTTGGAGATCTTTCTTAATTCTCCTAGTACCTGTTAAGGATAGTTATATTTAGGGGCACCTGGGTGGCTTAGTCGGTTAAGCGTCCGACTTTCGCTTAGGTCATGATCTCGCGGTTCGTGGGTTCGAGCCCTGCGTCAGGCTCTGTGCTGACTGCCAGCTCAGAGCCTGGAGCCTATTTCAGAGTGTGTATCTCCCTCTCTCTCTGACCCTACCCTGCTCACGCTGTCTCTCTCTCCTAGAAATAAATAAAAATATTAAAAAAAAGAAAAAAGATAGTTATATTTAGAGAGAATGTTACCTGGCCGTATTCTTAGATAACTCTGGCTGCAAGGGTATATTCTCCTTAAATTGTGCTGAAACATATATATATATATATATATATATATATGTTCTCTCTGTATCTATCTATCTATCTATCTATCTATCTATATCTTGTAACTTTCATCCTTAAGTTGTTTTTCAGTTCATTTACTGGTAGTAGTTTAGTCTCTTGCCTTGGGGTCATTTGCCAGGGCTGCCCGTTTGGGTACCTTTCAGGAAGTTCTAGCCTCTGGAATTGACAAGTAGCATTTTCCTTTTTGCCTGTTTGACTGCCCTGCTTTCCTCTCCTTGGGAACCCATCTTTACTCCACCTCTCATTCCAGAACCCTGGAGAGACTTAATTAATCGCAGAGCAATTGTCATCAAGCCAGCTGTTGACTGCTTGTCTTGACATTTGACTTGTTTCCTATAAGAGAAGTTAATGACCTAAAAATTGCCCATCCATGATGTGAGCCTGGTTAGGAGATAATTGTTTGATTTTTATGAAGTGTAAATAATATATTTGTAGAGACAAGTTTTTCAGGCATGTATTGGCCTATGTGTCAGAGATGGTTCCCTAAACAAGGTGGGACAAATTGGCTATAAAACAGAGTTTAATGACAGATTTTTCCATTAATCAGAATGGGGAATGTGCTTCATTAAGGTAACTAACAAAGCACTTGTGCAGGTGATACTTATTGCACACAAATTTCCAAGTTTCTTTCTGTTGAATAAATTTTGAAAGAGATCTTGGCTGTGTTTCCTTGTCTTTCATTAAAATTATTCGTGGCAGTAAATTTCTATTTTTCCCAAATCTGTTAGTAACTGGTATCTTGTCCTCTGCAGGTGCAAAGCGTTGGTGAGACACTTGCTGTGTAGACTTTCTAATAGGCTGTGTGCTCATTATTTGGCTCCTGCGCTCCCCTGGTGAACAGTAGAAGTGCATCCTTTCCCAACTCCTGGACTGGCATCCTTAGAATTGGAAAAGAGCTCAGAGAGCCTAAACTAATTGATTTTACATCAGGATCAGAGTCTAAAGAGGGGAAGTTATTTGACTTTACCATTGCCACACAGTATACTAGTGGTAAAGTCATATGTGGGTTAGTGGGTCTGGTTCTGAACTAAAAGCCAAAAGGTCTGTGTTGACATTAGGCAAGTTGTATCACCTCTCTACTCAGTATCTTCGTCTGTATAACGAGAAAAGTGTATAGCATAGGGCCAGATACAAACAAATGGCTTTTTGCTTCTTTGTGCTATACCGTGTTGTTCTCTGTGAATATAAAGATTATAGAAGGGAAGCTGATGTCAGGGAAAATGAGCAATCAGTAATCAGTGCTATTTTCTTTGTTTCTGCAGGATCCTCAATCTTCCACAATGAACCCTGTTTATAGCCCCGTGCAGCCTGGGGCTCCTTATGGCAACCCTAAGAACATGGCCTACACAGGTAAGTGGTGTGAGGATAGTTCTCATTTTGAAAAATGGTGGCTAAGGACATTACCAAATAACTTGCTGAATGACTTTTGGTATACTGTGCCTCCAAAGGCCCTGGTTATAAAGCTTGGGAGCTTGTAGAAGAGAGAGACATGTCTGGGGTTCAATGGAGATGGAAATGACATTCTTACAATTAAGGTTATTGAATTGTCAACTAGGGGAAAGAAAGAGAAGTAACATTTATTGAGTACCTACCATGGGCCTAGCCCTGTGATGCATACTGCCACATATCATGTTTAATTTTAAACCAGTTCTTCATGGTACAGCTTCTTATCACCATTTCACAGTTGAGAAAACCATAGTCACAATAAAAGGCCATAAAACAAAAACAAATATAGATATATGAGCCCAGGTCTGCTGATCCTGAAGTCTGATCTTTTCCCTGAACTGCATACCAAGCTGTTTCCTACTTTTCTCTTTGTGTACATTGTCCCTCTGTCTGGACTGCCATTGTCCCCTGATAGCATCACCTTGTTCATTAGGAACTCAGCTCTGAGCTCAGACAGCACTCTTCCTCGAATCATTCTTTCCCTTACTTGGCCTCTGGCAAAATTTTTTTAACCTTCCAGAGCCTTTGTACTTCCATTATAAAATAAGGGCAATAGTATTAGCATCTTCCTTCCTTCCCTCCTTCCTTCCTTCTTTTCTTCCTTCTCCTTCCTTCCATCCTTCCCTCCCTTACCACTTATTCTTTATTCTAGGTGTTTTTTTTTTAAATCAAAGTGTAGTTGACACACAATATTACTTTAGTTTCAGGTATACAACATACTGATTCGACAAGTCTATCTGTTGTGCTATGCTTGCCACAAATGTACCTACCATCTGTCACCATGCAACACTATTACAGTATCATTGACTATCCCTATGCTATCCCTTTTATCCTTGTGACTTAATTCATTTTATATCTAGAACGCTGTGTCTCCCATTTCCCTTCACCCATTTTGCATCCCCCATCAAACTCCCCTCTGGCAACCATAACCATTAGTCTGTTCTCTAGGTCTGTTTCTACGTTTTGTTTGTTTGTTTAATTATTTTTTAGGTTCCACGTATAACTGAAACCATGGGATATTTGTCTGTCTTTGACTTATTTTACTTTACTGTATTACCCTCTGGGTCCATCTGTGTTGTCACAAATGACAAAATCTTCTTTTTTCTGGCTGAGTAATATTACACACACACACACACACACACACACACACACACACACACACCATATCTTTTTATCTATTTATCTGTCAATGGACACTTAGGTTGCTTTTATAATTTGGCTATTGCAAAAAAATGCTTCAGTAATCATACAAGTGCATATATCTTTTCAAATTAGTGTTCTTTGGGTAAATACACAGTAGTAGAATAATTGGATCATATGTTATTTCTGTTTTTTTATTTTTTGAGGAACATCTATACTGTTTTTCAGAGAAGCTATACCAGTTTGAATTCTCATCAGTGGTACACAAGGGATCTTTTTTTCTCACCAACACTTGTTCTTTATTGAGTTTTTGATTTTAGCATGAGGTGGTATTTCATTGTGGTTTTGACTTGCATTTCCCTGATGATGAGTGATGCTGAGCATCTTTTCATGTGTCTCTTTGCCATTATATGTTTTTGGAAAAGTCTCTTCAGATCTCTTGTCCATTTTTAATTGGATTATTTGGGGGGTTTTTTTGGTTTTGGGTTGCATAAGTTATTTATATATTTTGGATATTAATGCCTTCTTGGATATATCATTTGCAAATATCTTCTTCCAGTCAGTAGATTGTCTTTCAGTTTTGTTGATGGTTTACTTTACAGTGCAAAAGTTTTTTGTTTCGATGTAGTCTCAATAATTTATTTTTGCTTTTGTTTCTCTTGCCTTAAGAGACATGTCTAGAGGGGCGCCTGGGTGGCTTCGTCGGTTAAGTGTCCGGCTTTCGCTTAGGTCATGATCTCGTGGTTCGTGGGTTCGAGCCCCGCGTTGGGCTCTGTGCTGACTCCCAGCTCAGAGCCTGGAGCCTATTTCAGAGTGTGTATCTCCCTCTCTCTCTGACCCTCCCCTGCTCACGCTGTCTCTCTCTCTCTCTCTCCTAGAAATAAATAAAAATTAAAAAAAAAAAAAAGACATATCTAGAGAAATGTTGCAATGGCCAGTGTCAGAGAGATTATTGCCTATGTTTTCTTATAAGAATTTTATGGTTTCCTGTCTCACATTTAGGTCTTTAATCTGTTTTGAATTTCTTTCTTTCTTTTTTTTTTTTTAATGTTTTTTATTTATTTCTAGGAGAGAGAGAGAGACAGCGTGAGCAGGGGAGGGTCAGAGAGAGAGAGAGTCACAGACTGAAACAGCCTCCAGGCTCTGGGCCGGCAGTCAGCACAGAGCCCGATGTGGGGCTCGAACCCACGAACCGCGAGATCGTGACCTAAGCGAAAGTCGGACGCTTTACCGACTAAGCCACCCAGGCGCCCCCGTTTTGAATTTATTTCTGTGTATGGTTTAGGAAAGTGGTCCATTTTCATTCTTTTGCATGTAGCTGTCCAGTTTTCCCAGCACCGTTTATAAAGAGACTGTCTTTTCCCCATTGTGTATTCTTGCCTCCTTTGTCATAGATTAATTAGCCATATAAGCATGAGTTTATTTCTGGACTATTTCATTCCATTTTGATCTATGTGTATACTTTTGTGTCAGTACAATACTGTTTTGATTTGGGCTGTTATAAGGATTAAATGAACTAAGGTAAGGCACTGAGCATATAATATCTGGCATGAAGTAAGCACTTAAAAATGTTATTATTTATAAATAAATAAAGATGGGTAAAATATATGGTAATAGAAATAAGTAAGAAAATGTATTTAGGTTGTGTAGCATGGTGCTTAGCATACCCTGGGCCTTCAGAAATACAGTGAGTATAAATCTAAGGTGAAGGTAAAAGTATGAATAAACGCAAGGGGAATTAAGAAGGTATGGTCAGGTTACAGTCAGTACTTGTGATTAGCTGGAGTAGGAAAGGGGAAATGTGGGAGAGCACCAGGCTGGCTCAGTCAAAAGAACATGTGACTCTTGATCTCAGTCATGAGTTCAAGCCCCACATTGGGTACGAGATTACTGAAAAAAGAAAAAAAAAATCTTTATTAAAAAAAAGAAAAGGGGAAAAGTGGGAAATGACACTCAAAAAGTAGATTAATAATGGTCTTCATGGCAGGATTGGAGGTGAAAGTAGGGGTAGAGAGTTTTGTCCCAGAAGAGAGTCGTTGGCAGTGAATTTCAGAATGTATTGGTTCCTTCTTATAACTTTGCACTTTACTGTGTATCCTGTTTAACTTCCTAGACAGAAACTAGAGGGTTCCCTGGGTCTTTTGTCTAATTATTCCATCCTTTTGCTCTATAAGAACACTGAGAAGGTGCTTCAGAAATTTCTCAAATATGTGATTTGATTTTTAAAAAATATTTAGAACTATTTTTATAAAGTATGCATACAAATAAGATGATCAGTGTTTTAACTTAAGCTTCTAAGAATGCATGTTAATTTTTAAAAAACACCAATAGTTGTAGCTACTTGTGTTGGTAAATCAGGATTTTCTCAATGTGAGACAACTCAAAAACATTCAAATATGTTGAATGTTGAGCCTGATACAACTATAGCTGTTATTACTAAATTTCAATTTCATATGTTTGTGTTTATCACAACAACCTTATTATCCCTACTTAACATTAATAATATTTTGAAATTTCTGTTTGAAAATATTTACTGTATACTAACATTGTTGTGTGTTTAAGAAATTAATTCCAATAACCAGGACCAACCGAGCAGTAGTTGTTCTTTTTCTTCCCTCTTTAGTGTCTCAGCAACCCAAGTCTCTTTGGCAGAAAGGACTTAGCTGCTTTGGCAGACAGAGCCCAGGAGAATCCTATGGGTTTCCTGTGATTCTGGCTGTCTTCATTCTCACTGACTTGCTAAACTCAAGAAAGAAGAAAATAGTTGCGCTTATCTATTGATTTGCTCAAAAAAGATTAGGCAGTGTGATATATTGGAAAGGAAATGGACCTTTCCTGCTTGGCACATAGTGTAGAACTTGGTAAATGTATTTTGATTCAATGAACAACAACCAGATTCAGATCCCAGCTCTGTTAGATAATAGCTAGGTGACTTTAACGTAGCTTAACCTTGCTTAATCTCCCTTAAAGTTTCTTTTATAAACTGGAATAATATTACTCCATAGGATAGTAGTAAAAATTAAATGAGATAATGAGTACTCCCCCTGAGGGAGAGAGTGAGGATTGTCTTTGTTTCTAAGCCTGAAACTGTGTTTTTAAGTTAATTTCTGTGCTTTAGATTCTAAGACCACATGGGAAGAATAAACTCCACACAAATAGAATAAGTTCAGACTTCACACAGGCCAAGGTTTCAAATTTTTCAGGAAACTTTTTAAAGCTAAGCTTCCATTGTCTCTGTACTTTTGAGTCAGTTTTTTTTTCAATGTTTATTTATTTTTGAGAGAGAGAGTGTGAGCAGGGGAGGCGCAGAGAGAGACCCAGGCTCTGAGCTGTCAGCACAGAGCCTGACACAGGGCTCAAACCATGAACCGTGAGATCATAAGCAGAGCTGCAGTCGAATGCTTAACCGACTGAGACACCCAGGTGCTCCTTGCCCCCCCGCCCCCCTTCTTAACTGACAATATGATTCCTCCAAGATCCCAGCTTTTGGGAGGGGAATTTGAGTTCCCTTAGCCTCTCCAGGGCACAGTACCTGGTCTCCCACCTCCAGTGACAAAATAAAGCAAGCCCTTTAATTGTACGGGCCAACATCAGCTATGAGAGTTAGTTTCTTCTTCAGTTTTTCACCCCTGGGGATTTCTTTTTCTTTCTTAAAATCTCAACTCTTTTTATGTTTGTTATATGACATGAACTGTTTGTTATCCAGCTTTTCAAGGTGTTATGTAGTAAGTAGATTTTCAGGTTATCTTCTCCATAAGTGCTGG